GAAAGGGGTCTGCTCAGCTGGCAAGTACTCCCTCGTCCTCTGTCCATCCTCCGACTTGGATGTGATGTTTTTAGCACCCACAGCCTCTTGTGAAGATGGAAGCCACATGCTAAGAATGGCAGAGGAGAAAGCCAGACAGAGGCTGGATATTGAGGCTGCTGTGGTACCATCTTATCGGCCCTTGACCACCTGCCTCCAGCCTTCTTCTTGTTTGAGAGACAAACAAAATTGTCTTGCTTAAGCTACTATGATTTGGGGATCCCACTTCCTAAGAGTTTAAAGCTCTCCCTTAATAATATAAATATAATGTAACAGGATATCCAGCTGGAAATTAGATGTTTTGAGTGTTTTTAGCTCTAGTAAGTCAACTTAGCCTTTTCACGTGCCCAGTCTCATCTCTTTTGAGACCCTGAAGTACCTTCCTCCACCTTCAGAGCCAGTTTAAGATCTCCAGATGCTTCTCGGGGTAGCCAAGCAAAGACAGGAAGGATAGCTCTATAATCCGGCAAGGGGATTCCAATCAGCCCTTTTGTGTTTTTCCAGATCCAGAAAGGGAGCCCTGGGGAGACAGTGAGGAAGGGAAGGCAGTCAAGCTTCTGGATTCAGATGCTTACACAGTACTTCCTAAATATTCACGGTGCGTCTACTTTAAGCCGTGGAACTGTCTAGGCATTGAGAGCAAGCAAGGAATGAAAGATCAGGTCTCTCTCCTCTGGGAGTGTGCACTCTAGTGGGACCTCTGCAAGGAAGCTGAGCTGTGTTACAGAATGTGTTACTCTACTCGTGTGACGAGCAGAGTGTGAGGCACTCAGTCCCGTTCACGCTTTAGGGAGACCATGGGAGTGAGCTACTATTATCTTCACTGTATGAATGAGACCAGTGTTCACAGCAGTTAATTATCTTGATTGGGCATGGTAAGAAATCAAAGTCGATCCATCTGACTCTAAGGTCACATTCTTTCCACTTCACTATTCTGCCTCCTCCATGCCAGCCTGCAGTTCCAGAGACCTTGCCAGTCTTTATCAAGCAAATCTTGCCAATTCACATCATAACCCTATCAGTCATTTCACAGGCCGAAGGCGGCTGTCCAGCTTGGAGGAGGGCACAACAGCTGTATGAATCCAGGAATTTAGTGGGCTTCAGTAATATCTCCAAGATTCTATCCCACCAGAAGAAATATTTGACAGTGCCATAAGTTGTGGGTTTTTTGTTTGTGGTGGTAATTTACATGACCTGTTCTTGCTCTGGAGGGGGTTTAATGCCAATTACTGCCTCCCTACAGAAAGAAAAAAATATTGTCTCCTGTCATTTTCACCAGCTCAATCTTTGACTTGACCATAGGGTCTTCGGCAATATCTACCAGTCAATGGGAATGCACAGACTAGGGGAAATTGGAGAAGAAAAGGAGTTGCCAGAAATTCTTTCCAGACCACTGGGTCCTCCTAGAACTAATTAGCTTGAGGCATGTAGGAAGAGAGAATGTATGTCTTATGGTCAGTAGGAGTGTGGGCTAATCACCAACTGTGACCCTCCCCAGGCCACGAGAACTTACTCCCTGGTCAGAATCAGTTGCACCCTCTGCTCTACCCCCCACACTGGGAATGTATCTCTAAATTTGCCCTTCCCACCGTTCTGCAGCCTCGGTATCTTGATGTCTTTTCATCTCTGTCTCTGAATTCTTTCAGTGTTGGTGGCAAAGGACGTAAAAACTAATTCAAACGGGCTTAAGCCAAGGAAGAGAAGAAAG